ACACCCCGCCGCTGCTGCCTGCACACCAGAGCTGAAGCCAGGGTGGCAAAGGTGGCCCAGCTCCCTTTTCCGTGCAGGATCCCGGGATCTGATTCAAGCAGGCAATCTGGACCACGGAGGAAGAAGCGGGAGCGGCGTGCTGGGCTTGGTGTGTGCTGTCATGGTGTCCACCCGGTTACATCCAGCCCCTTCCCTCCCAGCCTGCCACCGCTCGGCCACAGCTGCCTATGGCCTTGTTTCTCCCAAACACTCTTCCAGCTTGCAACAGTTTGCAACTCAGACCTCTCCTTAAAAGCCTTTGGTGCATTTCTCTTCCCAGAACTTGTCCGGTTCCTCTTTGGCAAACACAACGTCCTGAGGAGACGGCTTCCGCAGCTCAGCTATACGCTGCATCGAGAACCACCCTGCCCGTGTTCATCCTGAACCTGCCCTCTGGGCTTCCTATGACCTGCCGTGGTGGGCATCCTTAGAGACCGGGACCTGTGCTTGCTCCGAAACGAGGTCTGGAAACTGTCCCCTCCTCCTGATACGGACTGATGGCCTCAGTCTCGCTGTGGCACTGCCAGTAGTGCCCTTCAAAGCATTCCCCCCGGCACAGATCCAGACGTCGCTGTGAGCAGCAGAGAGGGGTTTACCTGCCCCCTTCACCAGGGGACCGCAGATTCGGTGGTTCTTGGCACTGTCTGAACCTACCCCCCAACCCCGGGAGGTCACCTCTAGCCTCTGGGATGCTGGAACTGGAGGTGTCCCCCCGACGTGCCCAACACGCAACTCCTAAGGTCAAAGGAAGGGTCTTACCAGAACTGGCTGCCCAGAGGCGTGCTGAGGAGGAGGAAGAGGCGAGGAAGCCGAATTCCCGGCAGACACTCCTCGACACGCAGGCAAGCGTTCTCCGAGAAATCCAAACGCAGCTCCACAGCAAGGGAAACGCTCCGACCCCCCCGGACGGAGTCGCTTGAAATTGCGTACGGCAGAAGTTGTGCAAAGAGCCTTCTCTAAAAGCACCCGTCTTCTCAAACGGGAAAACCAAGGTGCGTGAACTGCAGCAACCCTCCCCAAAAAAAGCAGAGGAGGGCTGTTGGGATCCTTCTTTGCAGCCTCCACTCCCCGAGCAGGTAAGTTGGGTGGTTTAATTCTCCAGCCAACTTCTACGTGAAGACTTCCCTTGCTCCACAGAGGCTTCAAAAGCTGAGATCCGTCCCCCTCATCTTACAAACACACACGGCAACCTCACAAGTTGAGTGTGAAGTGGCAAACGATTTTATTACACAGTTAGTCAAAGGCTTTTCTTTTTTTTTTTAAAAGATGTGCAGGGACGCGGTTCCCTCCTGCAGGTTCACCTGCTGACGACGCTTTTAAAGTGCTACGTTACAGCTGTGAAAATACCGGCACCTCACAGCAGGAAACCGAAGGCGTGCTTTTATCCAGCCTGAACTGGTGATAAACCAGCTGTTTCACAAGAGCGATTCGACGTGAAAAGGCAAAGCATGCAAGCCACTGGGAAAATACGCAGAGAATTTTGCAGGCAAGTAGAGCATCAGAGAAGAGGGCCTTGGTACGGATGCTGCTGGTTTGGGATCTCTCAGACTTCCTCCGAATCACGCAGAAAGCGTGTGGAGAAGGCACGCGCCCCCTCTCTTTAACGGGCTGAATTTTGGGATGGATTCTGCAGTGCGGTTATGCAGGCTCACGTACTCTGCTTTACAATACGCGTTCTGCTTTATGTCGGTGCAATATTCAGTAGCAAACACGAGCCTTTTAACAAGGCGAAGGGATTTGGGGAGATTTCCCTACCCACTGCAAATAAAGAGCAATTCTCAGGGCCGAAAGCTGCAGCTTTCACGGGGAGGTGACGGGTCTCTGCAAAGCCCTCACTGACAAAATTACGAAAGCTGAGGAAGAAAACCAGTTTACCGGGGACTGCTGATGGGGAATCCCGGGTTCTTCTCCCTGCTTGCGGGGAGGTTTTGGACAAGTCACTATGTTAACTTCAAACGGGGTGCACAGCGCCCACGTTCCCCCTCCCAGCAGAGGAGGTCAAGTGTATTGCAAAGCGCTGTCCCTTCCTCTGACGGAGAAAGCGCCGGGCACTGAGCGAGCGATCAACATCTCCAGTTTACCCGGAGAGCAGCCCTGCCAGATCAAAATCAGCACCTCGCTATTGCATGTATTTGTTGTCCTTATCGTTTAAGGGAGGCACTTCTCGCATTTTTGGGCAACGGGAAAGCGTTAGGGGGGAGGAGCAGCCTTTTCGCCCCGTCGCAGGGCTGACGGACCCTTCCCACCACAGGCCGAGCTCCGGGCACGCCAGCCGCCGGGGAGCTCATCTCCCTCCTGCTCCCCTGCCAGCAGGAAGGTCGTATGTCGGGAAGCTGTGCCGAACGGCAGGAATCCAGGAGGAGTAAGTTCCCGGACACAGTAAAGCAGGGAAGAAGTGACAGCCTGGGATAGGAGCGCAGCCCGGCCGTCAGCACCAGGCTGCTGCAACGGTTTAAAGCCCACGGCATCCTTGCGGACTCGCCGGATTCAAACCGTGCCAGCCCGTGGCACGAGCCTCCTGCTGTGCAAATCCACCACCGGATCACCAAACAGAACAGGCCCAGTCCTGCCTCCTGCCACAGCTCCCCTGTTGCTCGCCAGTAAATCATGGGAGGGTGGGAACACCCGAAAGTCTGCGCTGGCACCTTTAGAGCTTAAAAAAAAGAAGAAATCCTCTAGCTACAATAACCCTCTAACGACAACAAAGTAGTTTCGTTACTTTTGTGCCCCTGTGCTTTTGGGAGGGAGTAGATGAGATGGCGAACAACCTGCAGCCACAGCGACAGAAGAGCTGGGCAGCAGGGCTGGTGATCACTACGCTCTGCCTAGAGCTCGAAATGTGTGCCAACAGCGACTGAGCGGGGCTGCTTCTGCCCCCGAAAGCTGCCCTGGGCAGGGGGAAGCTGGGGATATTTATATGGGTTTGAGGATTTTATCTTAGAAATCTTGCAGCCCAATCCCCTCGCGTTCCGAGCTGATCCCTGGGGACAGCAGGGAAGTTAGGGACTGCAATTTTAAATGGGACCTTCAAGATAACCCAGAGCATCTGAACCACTGGGTACGGCCTCCCTGCAGCGCGCAGTCGATCCTATTTGTGTCCCAGCCTGGACACAAGTTTCCTATATTCCCATCTCAAAGCACCAGGTATCGGGAAAGGCAAGAACTACATCCACCCTCCCAGCCAGGCTCTAAAAATACAACCTAAAGATCAAAGACACCCAACAATCCTGTCTGGGACCAAGTCCACTTAATGCTGGCATTGTCTGAAATGTTCCTCTTAAAGCATAATCCCCTTTTCCCTGGCTGGAAGGGGGTGAAACGAGGTTGATCCTCGAGAAAGCTGGTTACATGCGGCTCTTTCCTGACCTTCAGCTTCATCCCCAGGGTGTCAGTGCTGCATGAAGCGACCCCAGAGCCCATCCCTGATCCTCAGGACCAGGGGAGGATGCTCCAAAGCAAAGCACCGAAGCAGGACGACAGCTCCCGGGAGAGGGGAAGGCTTGCACGCGGTCTGGCCTGGCGCGTTCTCACCACGGGGGCCTCTCTCGTCACAAATGAGCAGAAGGCAGCCTGCCTCGGTGCACCGGGGTCCTGCCCGCGCACCCAGCACCGGGGGGAAAGGAGGAGCAGAGGCGAGCCAAGGTCCCGGCAGCAGAGCCAGAGACACCAAGTAAGGCCAATTCAACATGAGGCGGCTGGTGGAGGCTGCTGCACAGACCCTCGGGCACGTTTTCAAGCCAAGATGAGCAGAGCCAACAAAAGCGGCTCCACTTTTACAGGACGTCTGCAAAACCTCGCTGCACTGCCTGGAGGGACGCGGGGCCTCACCCTTTGGACCACCAGGACATGTTTCCCTGGGGCCTCCTGGGACCAAACAAGGGAGATGTGGATAAATAGCCTTGAGGACTTTCTCTTTTGACTCACTCCCTGAATGAGACCCTCTCTACGGGTGTAAAAGGAGAAGGCTACAGACAAGAAGATGGTTGGGAAATGGGGGAAAACAGACCCAAACCCAACAGCATCACGCAACCAAGGCCTCTTCCGGCAAAACCTTCCAGAAAGATTTAACACCCCCCCTACCGTCCCCCCCGCTGCTCTTCAGGCTTCCAACGCGTTGGCCAAATTCCTGCTACGAAGAGGAATGGCCCAGGCTGAGTGATGGTCATGGCATCCCATCCGCTCCAGCGCTATTTCTGCAATCGAGCGTACACCAGGAAGGCCACAGCTGAAATCAGAGCGATGCCCACAGCTGGAACGATGTATGGCAGGGACGGTCCGTTGCTGTCCCCTGGGGGGACTTTGGCCTGAGACGAGGTGGTCGCAGTGCCTTGGCCCCCGCTAGAGTCAAAAACGGGAGAGTTTCCAAAGGGACCGGCTCTGTCTCGGAGGTCGCTGCCTGCCCCGAGCTGGGTGCTGGGGTAATGGTCCACACGGACCTCGTGGGTGCCCAGGGGGGTGCTGTCCCAGCTCGGAGGCAGACGCGAGTCTCTGCTTGCTCCAGCTGCCTCCTTTCCCCCGGGGTCTTCACGAGCCGCTGGAGCCGGGCATCCCAAGGAGACTCTGGAGAGCGCTTCTCCCGAGCCCCACCATGAGTGGGTCCCTGCTGAAGGTGAGGCTATCGGACGCCCCTGAAAAGGGGCCGCCGGGCCCCCGAGAGCTCGGGCATCTGCCGGCTGCCTCTGGGCTCTCCTCAGCCACGGACAAGAGGACGCCTGGCTTGCTCAGCTCCACATCCCTCTCCACGTTGCTGCAAGGCACCCAGATGCTCGTGGCAGAGCTCAGCCGGGAGGCCGTCCTCCCAGACGTGCCTTCAAAGCTTCTTGCAACAGGCTGGGGAGGGTCCACCGAGGCCGGCAGCACCTTTGGGAGACAACGAGAGGGGCTGGGTGCCATGGAGAGGAGAGGGGCTGGGTGCCATGGACAGGACCCATTTGGCCGGGCCTCGGGCACCCACGTCGCGCAACAAGCCCACTTCAGCGCTCAACCACCGCATCTCCAGCCACTAACGGCGAGGCTGGGTCACAGGTAGCTCCCAGGGCCAGGAGCCTGAGCGGGGCAGGGAGGTGTCGGGGCTCCGGGCAGCCTTTGGGATTCGGGGGAGATACAGGAAGGAAGGAGGGGGAGACAAGCAGCGAAGAGAGGGGTGGAGACAGGCACCTGGAAGCCAGGAGACTGACTGGCAAGTTGAGGCGGGGAAATAAGGAGTCAAAGCCCAACAAACCTTGGCTCCCTTCTCCCATGCTCCAAAATACAGCGTCCAGACGGGGACATGAACACAGTGGGGAAAAAAAGCCCCGAATAAACTCGCCACCAGCTCAAAAGCTTACACTGCAGGAGAAAAATCTCCCAACCAGGGGAGGTTCGCAAGGAGCTGAATGAAATGCAAGTGGCCACAGGAAAAGTCACCTACTTTTTCCTTCGTCGGCATGGAGGGGGTGCTGCTGGCCACCTCCCCTGCAGGCAGTTCTTTCTCTTGTACAGGAGGCTTCACGGAGGTGTCGCAGGATAGGGAAGCGTCTCTGGGTGCCGGGGTAGCGACCGGGGTAGTTGTTTCCATCCAGGTGTCTGTCGGGGAGAAAACAAAACGAATTGCGTTAATCAGGAGACCTAAAAGGTGAGTTTTGCTCTTCCTCAAGGACGCTGCAACGGGATACTCCCAGAGCTGAGGGGGTCGCACAGGGAGCGGGACCCAGCGCCGCGGGGTGCTGCCCGTGTGGCCCTGGCTCTGCCGCGGCACCCGAGCTCTCCCGGTCAGTGCAGGTAAACCAGACGGCACCAGCCAAGCCAGCACCCCCCAATCTGTTCCTCCCTTCGAGAGCAGGGTGGCCCCCGGCTGCTGAAACGGGGGCGCAGACATTCAACCGGGGCGTTTTACATCGGAAACGAAGCAAGTGCCTCTGCCAAGTCCTGGTGGGGACGTTGTGCCAAAATACAGCGAGCAACAACTGCAACAACAACCGGAGGGAAAACAAGCAGCCAGGCTGGATTTCTGCACAACCCAACCTCGCTCCCTTCCTGGAGGAGGTCACTGCGGCCCAGGAGACGGGAGGGGAGATGGGCGACAACAGCACAGAGAGCTGTTCTCTACACCTCCGTGAGCGCTCATGGGCCACGAAGGCAGACGCAACCTTGGGCTGTCCTGTACCACCAGCCACAGCTACCACCGTTCTTTGGGAGGGTCCCCATGGCCTCCCGGCGGGGCCCTACCCCACACCTGCACCTTCTCTGCCACTCTCCAGCCTCACCGTCAAGCAGGAGGGGCATCCAGCAGCACCTTCAACCCTGCTCCCCATCAGCACGGCGGCTACGTGGAACTGCTGGGAAGGCAACCCACCTCCATCTCCTCCGTGCTCTCGCAGCATCCCGACCCGCTTCTGCTCCACATCAAACTGCTGCTGTATGAGGAGGGGGCTGCGCACATCCACGAAGCTGCCCGGGGGCTCGCTGTGCTCGGAGCCAGGCACAGCCTTTTGTTTTGGCTGCGAGTCTGGGGGCTGCGGCCCCCCGCTGCGAGCGGTCTCCTCCAGCCTCAGCGGCGACTCAGTGGAGACGTAGAAGTCTTCTTCGGGCTCATTCCTGGGCTGCTTGGGGCTGCGAGCAGAGCCCGCATCCCTCAGCAGAAGAGACCTGCCCAGACCCAAGCCCGGCGCGCCGCGGTGCAGGTGGTTGGCGTTCCCGAAACACCCGTTGTCCACACACACCGGGTGCTGCTGGCGGCTCAGCCAGTCCTGGCCCCACTCGGGGGGAGCAGCCGATGGCAAGGCCACGCCGGCTGCCCCCAGGGGCCCCCCCGCCACCGGGG